ACCACTCACTGTGAGATTCCTCAATCACTCCCAACTCTAACATGTCCTTTATTTCCTTTGCCACCGCTTCCCGCCTGGCCTCAGGTATTCTATAGGGCTTTACATTTATACGGACCCCGGGCTGGGTAACTATGTCATGCTGTATGACCGTCGTCAGTCCAGGTAGGGGGGAGAAGAAATCTCCATTTTTCCTCACAAACTCCTTAACATCATTTTGTTGGGCTACTGACAAGGTTTCCGTTATCGGTACCTGAGGGGCCACGGGAACCACGTCCTTTTGGGGGCTTGGTACTGCCAACAAACTTTCCCTGTCTTTCCAAGGTTTTAAGAGATTAACATTGATAGATTTGTTCGGGTTTCCTTTTTCCTGGCTGGTAAACTTTATAATTTACTTCCCCCACTTTCTCCCTAATTTCAAAGGGACCTTGCCACTTTGCGAGGAATTTACTTTCCACGGTGGGGACTAGCACCAGCACTCTATCCCCAGGGTTGAAGGTACGGATCCTGGCACCCCCGGTTATAAACCCTTCTCTGGACCTCCTGGGCTTGCTCCATGTGTTCCCGAACGAGTGGCATGACAGCTGCGATTCTATCCTGCATCTGTGAGATATGCGCGATGACACTTCTATAGGGCGTGGACTCTGTCTCCCAGGTTTCTTTTGCAACATCTAGCAATCCCCTGGGATGTCTACCATACAGTAATTCAAAAGGCGAATATCCTGTAGATGCCTGAGATACTTCTCGTATAGCAAACATGAGATATGGTAGCAAAAAAATCCCAATTTCTCCCATCTTTGTCCACCACCTTTTTTAACATATTCTTTAAGGGTCTTGTTAAACCTTTCCACAAGCCCATCGGTTTGGGGGGTGGTAGAACCGAGGTACGGAGATGGGAGATTTTGAACAATTTGCATAAACTCTTTCATAATTCTAGACATAAATGGCGTGCCCTGATTGGTTAATATCTCCTTTGGAATACCTACACGACTAAACACCCGAACAAGCTCTTTGGCGATATTTTTAGCGGAGGTATTACGCAAGGGATGGCTTCAGGATACCGGGTGGCATAGTCAAGTATAACCAGTATGTGCTGATGGCCCCCGGGCAGACTTTACTACTGGACCCACTAGGTCCATGCCCACTCTTTCAAAACGGTACTTCAAATTATGGGTAGAGGTACTAGCGGACTGCGAAAATGGGGTGAGGGCGCAGAATATTGACATTCCGGGCATGATTCACAATGCGCTTTGATGTCTCCATGTAAGCCTGGCCAGAAGAATCTCTGGGTTATTTCTCTCCTTTGTTTTCTCTACACCCAGGTGTCCACCCATTATATGCCCATGGGCTAAATCCAGTACCATCCGGCGAAAGGGTTTGGGGACCACTAACTGTTCTACCACACCTCCTCCCCTTGCTTTACCACTTGATACAGCAAGTTAATTGTTAAGAGCCATGTAGGGAAAAGACACCGCTACATCGATTTCAACTGGTTCCCCATCAATCATTTTAATATTTTCTCTGGCTCTATTAAGTGTGGAATCTCTCAGTTGTTCCGTACAAAAATCCTCTTTTTCCTGACCTCTAGGTCAGGCACCACATTCTGTCCACTCTCACTAGAGCCAGCGATCATCTCTTGTTCTATATCCTCAATGTCTGGGGTTGGATCCAACTCCTCCTGCTCCCCAGCCATTACAGAGAAAGGGAAAAGATCTACTCCTTCCTTGGACACACCAACAGTTTCCCCTTCCACCTTGCTGTCAAAGGGGTCAGGAGTGAGTTCAGGAGTTTCCGGCGTTTCCCCAGCAGGGGGAGCTCGGTCTTCCTGACTCCCCTCCTTATCCCATAACTTCCAGAAATGGGGAAAATCTCTCCCCACTATGGCTTCATGAAGCAGAGAGGGCACCACCCCCACAGAATGGGTCACAGGGCCCCAGGGGAGTACCAATCTCCACCAGAGCAGTCTGGTAATTACGTGTATCACCATGAATACAAATAACCCCAATCATGCTAGGGTGTAAGCTTGCAGGGTTTACCAAATCACTTTTCACTAAGGTCAACCCACACCAACACTACCCGAGTCTAGCAGAGCAGTTACTGGCTTTTCATCAATGGCAATCACACACATTTGCTTTTCCATGCATTTCTGACATGCTGCAGTACATACCACCTGTGCAAACAGAGACATGCGTTTTCCTAAATAAGCATTTTCACATTGCATAGGTTCATCATTTAAAGGACAGTTTTGCAGCAATATGACCTAACGCATGACAACGATAACATATTATATGTTCAGTGCTTAGACCTCTAAATGGCTTTGGGGACCTTCCTGACCTATTTGGCCAGTCTCTAGGTCCTAAGCCTACAGTCTCATTATCTGACACAATAGTCTTATTTTTTTTTGAGCCTTTGGCCCATGGAACAGTCTTACCGGATCCTCCGGATAGTTTTCCACCCCTAGTGACCTTGGGGTACGGCCCAGGTGAAATGAAGAAAGTCCTCAGCGGCTGCATATCTCTCCACCAGGTCCACCAGCTCGTTTGCAGATTTAGGGTCTCCACGGCTCCCGACCCACTTCCTCAAAGTGGCAGGGAGTGCATGCAAATATTGGTCCATGACCACACGCTCCACAATCTGGGGGCCTGCCAATACCTCTGGCTGGAGCCACTTTTTGGAGAGATGTATCAAATCGAACATCTGAGATCTGGGGTGGTTTGTCAGCCCTAAAATGCCACTGATGCACCCGCTGAGCCCGGACTGCAATGGTGACACCCAGGCATGCAAGGACCTCAGCCTTTCAGTTTCTCATAGTCCTGGCATCCCCTGGTTCCAGGTCATAATAGGCTTTTTGGGATTCACCTGTCAAAAATGGTGCAAGCAGTCCTGCCCATTGCTCCTTTTTCCATCCTTCCCGAACAGCAACCCTTTCAAAAGTTGTGAGATAGGCCTCCACATCATCCGCAGGTGTCATCTTCTGCAAAACATAGCTGGCCCGTGCCATTTTCTGCTCCACTGGCAGCGGATCTGCAGATTCCTTCTTTAATTCTAATAGGTGTTGGGCCACCTGCTTAAGGAGCTCTCGGTCTGCTTCTTGGGCCTCCGCAAACTGGCGATTTGTCTCCCGTTGTGCTGCATTGGCCTGCAGCAAGGCTCCTATTATTTCCTCCATCTTCCCACTTGCTCAGGAAGTGCCTGCATCCTCCCACCATATGTGGGGTTAGCTCAGGTGGGGGATCTCCTTCCCTGGGACAAAGGTAGACCGCACAGCAGGCTTTCGTCAAAATCTGACTGGATGTCAGTTTTATTAAAAAGGTTGCAAGAAATATCAAAATAAACAAAACATCAAAATAAACCCTTGCCATCCAGGCACTAACTAAACAGCAGATGATTCCTCTCTCAGAGGTGAAGGGCTTCTCGCCCTGTCACCAAAACAAAGTAACAGCAAACCTTTTCTTGCAGGGTATAGTCCATACACACAGCTCTCTCAGAACACCTCTCTGAGTCCCAGGCCACGAGCGACTCCTTGCTCCAGCCCTGCCTTATTTATACCACCTGTTTGGTGGTCATCAGTGGAGCCCAAACTCTGGTCCGGACCCACCTGCTTAACTGTGGCCCCGAAAACCGGAATGGACTCCACCTAAACGGTCAGGTATGAGCATATGCGAGGTGACACATAGCGTCCCTCTATCACCTCGCCGTTCATCCTGTCACAATATATATATATATATTTTTTTTTTTTTATTGAGCTGTATGTTTGTTAAATATCACAGATACAGTCCCTTTACGACACTGATTTTGTCTTCATTTATTGGTGCTGGTGGCATCTTATGGCACTTATTTTTTGCAAAATAAATTTAGCAGTTTCATGTTTTGATGATTTAATATTTTCTGCTGCCTTTTAAAAAAATCTATTTTTTTTTTGGGGGGGGGGGGCAAGTAGCTGGTCTTGCCTAGTGCGCGAATGCCTGCAGACTGCTGGGAGGAGCAAAGACTTGTAGGAGGATGTGGTTCCCAGAGAGACTGGACTCTCTGTGTTGTAGAACTGTGTGGGACTACAAGACCCAGAAACTGTGCTAGAGAGAGGAGGAAACAGAAGCAGAAGCCCAGTGTCTCAGGGCAATTTCTCATGCAACATTAACACTGAGCTGAGCGTTTTTAAGGTGTTTTTCAGGTGTTCTTCATTTTTGCTGTAGCCAACAGAAATTTGCTGCTGTTTGAGCTGAAAACACCTGAAATAATGCTCATTCCCACTGTTCAGGCATTATTCATTCAAGTCTATGGGACAAAACACTCAGACCCTGGTATAGTGGGTCTGCAGGCTAAAAAGCTCCCCCAAGGGGTAGGGACAAAAGTACTTCCATAGTGTAGTAAGTGTGATAAAAAACTTTATTGTGATCATCAAGGTAGGTAATAAAATAGCAGACAGGAATCAATGGTGGACATCTTAGATTACTAGATGGTTAGTCTTCATTGATTCCTGTCTGCTATTTTATTACCTACCTTGATGCATCACAATAAAGTTTTTTATCCCACTTACTACACTATGGAAGTACTTTTGTCCCTACCCCTTGGGGAGCTTTTTAGCCTGCAGACCCACTATACCGGGGACGGACCAGTACTTCCTAAGGTACTCATACACGCTGAGAGATACCTACTGGAGCGAGGGACATCTAGTGGACGAAGAGTGCCTTCATCAGCCTCTTATTATCCAAAGTGATGACCCACCATCCCATAAGAGGGAAGAGCATCTCCAAACCAGTTCTCTACCTGATGACATCTGGATTATTTTTACAAGGCGCAAACATTATGCGCGTCCGGTGAGTGCGCATTACTTTATCAATTTTGCACTGATACCGGGTCCAGTGTCACCATAGCACAAGAGGCAACTTGTTACTATCACCAATTACATTGGAACTTTTTATTGATTTTTATTGATATTTTATTTGGTTCACAACATATTTTAGTGCTGCACCTATTTGTTTATTATTGTCAATATATATACGTGATTTTGCATTTCTGGGTAGGGGGCGCATGTGAGCCCTACCCGCGCTGCCATTTGTGGCAGTGGTTGTCAATCACAGTCGTGCCGCACCCGGTGATTACCGAGGATCTCTGATGGGGAGGAGGACTGCTTTGTTTACTAACAGACCTCCTCTCTGTCAGCTCAGGCAGTGAAGCACCAACACACTGCCCCCCCAGTAAAACACTCCCAGCACAGTTAACCCTTTGATCACCCCTCATGTTAACCCCTTCCTGCCCAGTGCCATTAGTACAGTGTCAGTGCTTTTTTTTAGCACTGATCACTGTATTGGTGTCACTGGGGATGTCAGTGACACCAAATCCATTCCCCCACTGTGTCAGAAGGTCCGCCGCAGTCCCGCTATAAGTTGCTGATCGCAGCCATTACTGGAAAAAAAAAAAAATCCCAGTATATATACCGCCACGTGTAAATTATTGGGATTTTTTTCTTAGCAAAGACATGTAGCAGAATACATTTTGACCTAAATTTATGAGGAAATTTGATTTTTAATTTTTTTTTACTGCACATGTTTAATAGCAAAAAGTCCAAAATATAGTTTTTTCTCAAAATTGTTGATCTTTTTTTATAGCGCAAAACATAAAAAACACACAGGCGATCAAATACCACCAAAAGAAAGCTCAATTCGTGGGGAAAAAAAGGACGTAAATTTAATTTGGGTGCAGCATTGCATGACTGCGCAATTGTCAGTGAAAGTAACGCAGAGCCGTAATGCAAAAAATGGCCTGGTCAGGAAGGGGGGGAAATCCTCAGGAGAGCAAGTGCTTAAAGTGGCTATAATCATCAGCTCCATCTAGTGGCCATAATGCACTATTCATTCTGAAATGCCTCAATCGGGAGCATACCACATTATGTCCTCTAGGTGGAGCTGATAATCATAGCTAATCACTACATTGGGCAAAACTACAGTCAGAACCCGTCAAGGCTGGGTGAATGCTTGTCACATTTGTTCCGTGAATTTGTTATAAATAGACCATGTCCAATCTGGGCTGGTTTCAGACAGCAAATCCACCACAGATCACCAGACAGACAAGTTAGATCAGTTAGTGATAACACATAGGAGTGCAAAGTTTTTTAATATTTAATAAATACAAATCAATAAGCAAAAATAAGGATCTATCAGCAAAATCAAAACAGATAACAAAATACTTTTAAACTTTAATAGTACGTATGTCAGTAGGATTTGACAGGTGGAGAAATCATAAAGTGAGACTCAGGAAAAAGGATTTTTTTTTTGTTTTTTCCCTAATGAGTCTTATCTTGGGCTTGTACGATTGCTGTGTACTATAAAATCCCAGAGTCATTAAAGCTGAAAAGTACAGCCAGTGCTATGCTTCTGGCACTGCTCATATACACAGGCTCAGTGCCATGACAGGGTCACCCAGTGCCCAAGGCAAGGATCCAGAATTACACCCCCTCCCCCACTGTTAATACATGCTGTAGAATGGGTGTGCCACCCTGCATCTATTCTTTGCCCCTTACTTCTCTTCATCCGGGGCAGCAACCCCTCCTGCCCACCCCTTGTCCCGGCCCTCCGCCCGCACTGGGAAAACACAACCGTAATGGGAACCGAGGTTCCCATGCAGGCTGCGTTTTCAGAAGAAGTGCAGGATCTTCTTCCCTGCATGTCACAAGGCATGGGAGTCCATTCAAATGAATGGGCTCTCATGCTCATGCAAAATGCGGCCCACATGGCCCCATATATGTGAACTGGGGCTTAATAGCAAAAAGTTAAAAATATTGTTTTTTTTTTTCAAAATTGTCTGTATTTTTTTGTTTATAGCACAAAAAATAAAAAAGGAAGAAGCGATCAAATACCACCAAAAGAAAGCTCTATCTGTGGGAAAAAAAGGACGTAAAGTTAATTTGGGTGCAGCGTTGAATGACCGCTCAATTGTCAGTTAAAGTAACACAGCGCAGTATCGCAAAAAAAAACCAAAACAGCCCATTAAAGATAAAATAGAACAACATTTTGCTGCAACATTCACGTTCATTTCACGGATTTTTTCAGCAGCGCTGCATTTCTGTCACTAGATGTCCTCAGTCCGATGGTCAGAAGCATTCCACCCACATTCTTTGAGCCCAGGTCATATTGGACCCACCCCCCAGCCTGTGGGTGAAAGGAGAAGCTGTAAAGCTGAAAAGGGATGAGATCATTTCTAGATTGTAAGCTCTAACGAGCCAAGCCCTCTGCTTCCTCGTGTACCAAATTGTATTGTAACTGTAATGTCTACCTTCATTTTGTAAAGCGCTGCGCAAACTGTTGGTGCTATATAAATCCTGTATAATAATAATACAATCTCTGTCACTTTGATTTCTCCACTTATCAGCATGCCTATGGTCAGCACATGAACTGCTTCTCCCTCTCACACTGCAGCCCTGCTGTATAGGGGTTGCAATAGGCTGATTAGGTCAGATTCAGGTACTTATAATGCTTGCATTTAAAAATAGATTAACTGATGTACTAAAGATTATACGTTTGCATTTGCAGTGTCTTTTATATCTATCCAGACATCAGCATTTGTTTTCATATGAATTAGCCCTTTCTAGCCTCAGGGTTTTGCATACAATGTCTGTGTGAAAGAGCCCTTGGAGTACCTGTACAGGTTCTTCCTATGATGTGCTCATGGTTGCTGGCATCACAAAAGGCAATTTTGCAATGAACTCTTTGTGAAATGGAGACAAACATTTGCAGTCAAATAGAGGGCAGTAAAGTAACGTCTAATGACTTCCACACAATGCTCATCAAACATCATCCACCCTGCTGTCTAAAGAACTCCGTGCACATAGATCAGTAACACAAATGGATGACCATGTTGGCCAACTCTCAAAGTCTGGAAATGGGGAAATGTCAGAACCTCTGCCAGGGTTTTTATTTGTGTCACTGTTAAGGAGATTTCCATTACTTCCTGTCCCAGGGTCTACAGAGAAAGTGACAAGAATTTGGCAGCTAGTATACGGGCAGCAATAACACCCCAACAAACATTCCCAACACAAACTGTCTAAAACTAAAAGTTACAATTTCCCACTCTTTATTTGCTGTCAACTAAGGTACAGTATTATTTGGAATTTGGTCCAGACTTTCTCAACTATTTTAGCCCAGGGAAACCCTAGAAATTGGTTCATTGGCGGTCAGTGGGAAGAATGCTCCTTACATAGGTGCTCATTGGGAAGAATGCCTCTTACATAAGGGTCGGTGGAAGAAGGCCCCATTACATTGCTGATCAATGGGAAGAATGCCCCTTACACTGATGGTCAATAGGAGGAATGCTCATTGCATTGGTGGTCAATGGGAAAAATGCCCTTTATTTTGGGTGACAGTAGAAGGAATGCTCCATACCTTGGTGGTCATTTGGAAAAATGCCCTTTACACTGATGGTCAACAGGAGGAATGCTATCCACCTCACCGAGAATTACCTTCTTGATCCCCTTCAGTACGGATTTTGCCCTAAAAAAAGTCTCTCCTAAAATTCACAAACTAAATCCAATGGAAACAATTCTGTACTCCTATTCCTGGACCTCTCTGCTTCCTTTGACATAGTTGACCACCCCCTCCTCCTCAAAAAACTCCATGCCTTTGGTCTCCATGACTGTTCTCTTCGCTGGTTCTCATCTTACTTATCCAACTGCACCCTTAGCGTTACCTAAAATTCTACTTCCTCCTCTCCTATTCCTTTCTCTGTCTGGGTCCCCCAAGGTTCTGTTCGTAGACCTATCCTACTCTCAATCTACATCGCCTTCCTGGGCCAGCTGATAGCTTCTTATGACTTCCAATATCATCTCTACGCTAACGACACCAAAATTTATCTCACTAGCTCACTCCTTCAGTCTCCTCAGGTATCACTAATTTACTAACATATTTATCAACCTGGATGTAACACCAATTCCTCAAACTCAATCTATCCAAAACTGAGCTCATTGCCTCCTTCCCTGATTCTTCTGTCAAAATCGATGGCACGACCATCTGTCCGTCCCCGCATGCCACGGTTCTAGGTGTAATCCTAAACTCTGAACTATCCTTTTGGCCCCATGTCCAATCACTATGCAAATCTTGCTGCCTCAACCTACGCAACATCTACAAAATACGCCCCTTCCTAACAAATGACACCACAAAGCTCCTAGTTCATTCCCTGGTCATCTCTCGCCTCGACTACTGCAACTCCCTTATCATGGGATTACCTTTACATAGGCTATCCCCCCTTCAGTTCATCATAAATGCTGCTGCCAGACTCATCCACCTCACCAACCAATCAGTGTCTGCTATTCCTCTCTGCCAATCCCTCCAGTGGCTTCCACTCACACAACTAATTAAATTCAAAATACTAACAACTTACAAAGCCATCCACAACTTAGCCCACAGCTACGTCGCTAGCCTAGTCTCTGAATTGGGACCTAATCATTCTCTTCATTCCTATGAAGACTTTCTGATCTCTAGCTCCCTCATAACCTCCTGCTATGCTCACCTCTAGGACTTTTCCCGAGCCTCTCCTATCCTACGGAACTCCCTACCCCAATCTGACTATCCCCCACTCTATTTGCTTTTAGATGAAAACCCTCCTCTTCAGACAAGCCTATTATGCCCCACCTAATAACTGGAGTTTTATTTTCTGCATCAGCTCATCCCCCACAGCTATTAACTTTTGTATCACTTGACCCTCCCTCCTAGATTGTAAGCTATAACAAACAGGGCCCTCTGATTCCTCCTGTATTGAATTGTATTTAACTGTACTGCCTGCTGCCCTCATGTTGTAAAGCGCTCTGCAAACTGTTGGCGCTATATAAAACCTTTCTAATAATAATAATAATAATAATAATAATAATAATAATGTTCCTTTTATTTGGTGGTCAATGGAAAGAATGCCCCTTGCATAGGTGCTCATTGAGAAGAATGCCTCTTATATAGGGGTCAGTGGAAGAAGGCCCCATTACATTGGTGGTCAATGGGAAGAATGCCTCTTACACTGATGGTCAATTGGAGGAATGTTCTTTACTTTGTTGGTCAGTGAGAAGAATGCCTCTTATATCGGTGATCAATGGGAAGAATGCTCCTCACATTGGTGGTCAGTGAGAATAATGCCTTGCTGGTCAGTGACAGAAGGTCCCTCTTACCAGGGGCTGACTGACCATTCGAGCATTCGGCACTGCCCAAGGGCCCGGGGTCAGTAGGGGGCCCCATGAAATGCCCCTGGTACCTTTTTATAGGCTTTTTTGGGGTGTGCTTTGAGTGTGGGCAAGGACACAGGGGCCCCATGATCCCCTATTGCCCGGGGGCCCCATAAGTTGTCAGTCCGCCCCTGCCGCTTACATTGCTGGTTAGTGAGAGAAGGTCCCCCTTACATTATCGGTCA